ATTTTGAATTTCTTTAAAGAGTTGGGCTTTCCAATATCTTTGGATCCCTCGTAGACCAGTTTGTACTGCCCCGACGCAAAGTGTTCTAGTCTCGGACGGAAAGCTTCTGTCACGCGAGTAGGAAGAAATACTACGGAATTTTCTAATTGCAGCAACACGGAATTGCCAAATTTTGTATTAACAATTTTGGCTCTAGTAATTTTAAACGGAACGCCTATCGGCAATTCATGCAGTTTGACAATCGGCTGCTCAAAATCACCTTCTGCAAGACAGGTTTGATTCAGTTGACTTAAGTCCATCTATAAATTATTATTAATTATTTTATCTCAAAATTAAAAAAATAAAAAAAAACTTACGCTTAAGATTGCTGCTATTCTATTTGCGGTTACGGGTTGAGAGTACTAAGATGATCTTTAGGACCTTTATAAAATAATAACAAATGTTAAAGAATTAAAATAAGACAATAAAAAAGGTACTTACTGCTTTTTTGTACGAACACCAAACCACTAAGTTAGCTTCCACGTTGCACGAATAATACCAAAAACAACTACTGACAAAACAGAGAAAAATGAGATGTATTTATACGGTGCGAGAATACTTTCTAAAAGTTAACAAACGAAGACACCTCCACATGCGTTGCAACAAATTTTTCCCATTACGTTAATCCCACGGAGCAAATATAAAGGGGGCAATTAATTATTATTCTCAACAAGCAAAACAACTTGACATTTAGACTCGGCGCGTTTTGAAATTCCACATCCCATACGGAGATTGTAAAAAATGAAAGCAAGTTGGCCTTGATCTTTTGCGGCAACATACGTTCGTCCAACGTCCGAAACGGTTGCGTTCCCGTGTGAAAGCGTGTTGACCTTGAGACTCCTACCTGCACGGTTGTCTGGCGACAACATCGCGTCTATTCAAATCGGCGTTGGTGCTTGTGGGTAGAAGACCTTTCGACTTTTAATTCAACCATGGAAGGGAGTGCATGTGTATAAATACGTTGCATGTGTATTATAGACTATATTCAGTGCAATGAATACAGAAGTGCGATGTCCATTTCCCTACGACCCTACAACTGGTAAGTTTTATATTTTAATTACCTTTATACAGTGCGCGTCTTTTCTTGTGGGTTTCAGTTTGGGTTATCACTTTTTTGGTTAGTTTCTACCTGTTTTTAAAATATGATACTCATCTTTTTTACGTTGCATAATAACCGATTTAAATTGAGTGTTTTTAATAGCTTTTAAATGACAGTGAATGGAAAAGGGAATTTTGGCTTTTAAAAAATAAACAATTTTTAAATTTGTTTCAAAAATGTTTTATTTTTTGTACTAAAAAATTGCAGTTTGCCTTTTTGACAATAATAATCGAATTAAATTGAGCGTTTTTAATATCTTTTAAATGACAGTGAATAGGGAATTTTGGCTTTTAAAAAATAAACAATTTTTAAAATTACTGAAAGTTTTGTTTCAAAAATGTGCGTTTTATGGGGAAAACGCGAAATATATACATATTTTTGTTTATTTTTTGTACTAAAAAATTGCAGTTTGCCCTTTTGACAATAATACACTTACATTTAAATGACAGTGAATTGAAACGTGAATTTTAGTATGCGCGTATAACTTAAAAAACAATTTTTAAAATTATTTGATAACCCCCCTTTTTGGAAGTTTTGTTTAAAAAAAAAAAATGTGTGTTTTATAGGAAACGCTACATATCATACTTTGTTTTGTTCTAGAAAAAATCGCGGTTTGTCCGTATAACAAGTCGCATATTATGTTGGCGCATCGCTTAGGGCGTCACATATTCAAATCACACAAAGAGTACCGGGGGTTAGAATTCCCGGTACGACATGAAACGACAAGGGAACATCACCAGCAGCAGGAGCAACCCGGTGGATCAAAAGAAACAAAGGAGCAGCAGGAGTACCCGGGTGGGTGGTCGACGGAGTGGGACGGCGAGGAGTGCACTTCGTATTTAGATTTCCTCCGGGAACGGGAAGAAGAACAACGCAAGGAACAGGAACAATGGGATGGTCGACTGAATCGACATAAAAAGAAGAAGAAACTCCTCGCCAGACCAATTTTATAAATAAAATAAAATGTATTAAAATTCAAGTTTATTTAATTATCCTCCCGATCCACCGCGTCACCGCGCCGCACCGTCACCGCCCTCTACCGGGGGGGCCTACGACGGTCGGAGCGCGCGACATCTAGCAGCGACGGGCGGAACCGGGGCAAAACAGGACGCTACACAAGCGCGCGACATCTAGCAGCGACGGGCGGAACCGGGGCAAAACAGGACGCTACACAAGCTGGGTGGGGGGCGGAGCGCACTCTGGTAGACAGGGGGGACACTAGGACGCCACGCGCGGGGGGCCCCCGCTGCGGGGGGGTTAGGAAATTGAGGTTATGTACGGTTTCTGTTGCTTATATCGGCACTATACATCTACTTATTTCGACTTTTTTTTTTTCATTCACATTTTACCTTTCAAACTTTAAATTGAATTGAACCGTACGTCCCGCGCGTTTTCCGTTTGCGTTGAAACTTGTATAAGCTTTGGGAGCCATCCCATCTATCTTATACTCTTTGGTGGAAACTGTTGACCGCAGCTGGCAGAAAACCTCGCAAATGGTTACTAAAAAATCTCCGTTTTTTTCGCTTGATAATCCGGTTTTAGGGTACGCTCATATTTTATAACCAGAACAATAGTGAAAATATTGTACTTTATAACCGTAGTAGAAGATATATATGGTACGTAATATACGGGAGTACGTTATATCCCATGTACGTTATAAACGGAGTTTACTGTATGTTGTCATGTAGGCGACCATGTTGGTTTGGGTTTACTTGCTTGCTTAGACTAATTTAAGTTAAACGTGGCATAAAGTGGATGGCTGGATAAAGTTCGATGGCTTGACATGAAAAATCGACGATATCTCCATAAATGTAATATTCACTACAAAACTGTAAGATTGACATCTTCTCACTCACTTTTTAAAGAAAATCAGTTTCCGTACTGACGTTCGACTCGAATTCGAATTTAAGATATAAAGGCGTGCGTCATCTCTCGATTTTTTGAAAGATTATTCACGCATACAGGGTGTTTTCGTATTTCTTTTAATATCCTTTTTCAAAAGGGTTGTCATGAACGGATAATTTTGTTAAAAATTATTAATAGTAGGTAGTGGTCTTTTTTTTTTTTAAATAAAAATCGTTTATTATTTATCTTGTTAGAATTTCATTCAAACTGTACATGTAAAAAGAAGGAAAGAAGAAAATATTTTTTTTTTCTGAAGGACATTAGTTGGTAAATAAAAACTGGATATTTTGTTTTAGATAGATATTTTATTTTTCACAAAAAACGTTCTCGACTTAACCTGTTTATAGACAGCGATTTACTTAAAAAAATGCCGATATTTGCATTAACTTATAAGCAAATTTGATCCCTTCCCTAGTACGATTTTCATTTAAAAATAAAACTAATTTCTCCGCATATTAACGATATTGTTATGACCATGCAGAGAAGAGGTTTTCATTTTTTTAAGCGAATTTTTTATTTCATTGGCGTGCTATGGCGTAATATAGTTTATTTTTGAAAACTTTGCCATCCGGTAACTCAAAAGTTAAGACGTTTAGGACGTATGTTCATATAAAGTTTTCTTTTTAAAATGGACTCAAACATCGCCTTCTTAATTATTGACATTCAATTAGAAAACACCCTGTATAATGCAGTGGATCTTTCAATCTTTCAAATTATTAAACAATACATTTTTCACACACATGCATGAAATGGTTAGTTTAAAAAACAGAGGCTCCAAATATTATATTTTGTTTAACTGAACATATTGTTTCCAATACTTATAGTAGGCTAAAATACTATTTTTTTTTATCGATCATAAATAAAACTAAAATCTGATTTTGGAACGCGTTCATAAATCTGAACATTGAACTTCCTTTGCATTACTGGTTGCACGGTTGATATTAGACATCATTAGAAGATTTGTTTTGATCGTTGACAAACGAGAAGGTTAAAATGTCGAAATTTTGATTTATATTTGCGTGTTGAAAATGGACTAAGAAATGACTCAAAAAAACAATCTCAATAGACTACAAAAATATATAGCACAATGGAAAGTCTTCCACAATTTGGCTAATAAAGAATGCGAATAGCGACTATTGGTTAGTTAATAGTTAGTAAGGACGAGGTACGATATAAATTGAAAAAAAAAAAAAGTTAATCGGCTAAAAGTGCTGGGAATTATTTCCGAGTTGCTGAAATGGCCACGAGGGGGCGTAATCTAGAAAATTTCTATTATTAAAAATACTCTAAATGATTTTTGTTTAACACTCTTTGCTCTGCAAAGCAAGTGGTGAGGAGTGATCAAACAAAATTACAATTTTTTATGGACCGAACAACCCGAAGGAAGTCCCATATCAATATTTTTATCCAAACCTAAAATACGAATAAAAGAAAATTTGCAATTTTTATCTTTAGTTTATTTAGGATGCCGCTACTTCTTTCGAAAACGAATTTGGTTTTAATCTTCTTTGTCGTTTTTTGATGCTTGTCAAATCCTTTTGATTGTATAAAATTTTTATCACCTTAAATCCAGTGCCTAAATAATTCAATAATTAATGAACTTCTTCAGCAATTTATCAGTTAGTGCCTAGTAATCGTTTTTTTGAAAAATAGCAAAAAGTAGGAGGAAGTGGATTAATTTTACCTTATTATCAATTCTAGTTGCTGTATATTCTTTTAAAAATCCCAACCATACCGTAAGTAATAAAGCAACCTCATTAAGTAATTATTTGTTTAAAAGAAATACAATTTTCCTACGTATTGTGTCATATACAGATATTGTACATAAATGAATTTAAATCAAAAATGAATTTTGCTTGTGTAAAATATCTATGTAAAAAGAAATAATGGATAAAAGTCAAATAGTGGAGGAGGAGGACAAAGATTTTATGGTATTATAATATTTGTAGTAACATACCTTGGTCTCGGCGTCTGCTAACGGATTGGGAGTAATAGTGATCCTATTGGAAGGAATCGCGCACCCATTAGACCTGGGAAGGGACTTTGCTTCGACGACATAGTCGGTACCGTCCGCTTGGATGTGGTGCTCGACCGACGGCTTATCCTCGGTGTCTGAGAACAAAAATAACATTGTTTCCATAAAATTCTACCAGAATTGCCAACTAACCGGTCAGTTTTTTTTGTTTCCATTTTCTGCAGACGAACAGCAGTATTAGACTCGCAATGACCAGTGCTGCAGCTATGATAGTACCGACTGAAATTACGTATACATTACTGGTACTGCTCGCTTCGGGTGTTGGGGTAGTTTTCGTGGTACTAAATTGTGTTGTGGTATGACTCGATACCGGATTCACTAAAAGCGACAGTATAAAGATTAGGAAAACGATGAAAAATGTGCGGGCGTGTTAAACGTACAACCGGTGCGACCTTTCATCAGCTGACTAAATTCGCTGGCCAGTTTCGAATTGAAACTCTGCAGTTTTATGTCGTAGCTGGTTTCCGGATGTAGATGGGTTATTACGAAATTCCTGGTACCGTCTCCGTCTACGGTAGTCTTCATGTAATCGTCTCCGGCCCGTGTGGCCGACATGTAACTCAAGTAAAACCCATCGACAGTCACATTATATGGGGGACACTAGAAACCAGGAATCAAAATAAATATTCGTGAAATTTTGAAAAATTTAAAATATTCTGTTATTTTCATGATTATTAATATATATTTTTTATTAAACAGCAGTAGCGGACCTTATATTCTGCTACTTCTTTTATTCTGGTCTAGACTTATTTTGCTTTCACTTAAAATTCAATTTTTGCTACAGACTAAAAATTAAAAACTTTCTTCTTCTTTTCTGCATTTTGTAGCATGATAACACAATCCGTGATTTAACTAACCTCACTTAAGCGCGACAGATGGCGCAACTCAGATAAAAATTAAGTTTTAATTAAAATTGCTGAAATAAACTAACTTTGCACTTTCTATAATCGTAATTTTTTAAACTTTCAAAGTAACTCTTTGACTTTGTCTTTGCTTAAAGACAAAATTCGGCAACCAGTCAATTCAAACAAGCAAACATTTTATATCATATTTGGAGTTCTTGGCGCCATCTTGTCTTGACTAGCTGTAACCCGGTGCGTGGATGAACGATTTTTAGGGTTATGCGAATAATGAATCAGCTTTTATCAGCTACTTTAACGGACTAACGGTTTTTTTTTTGTGATATTGGAAATGTACTGTTGTGTTCTGGGTTACGTTATCTGACGTTGGAAAAATTTGAACCTTCCTGTTCTGACATTTTCAAAGGGCTTAAGCTATCTCTCCATATCCCCTCTAGAATAAGCTTGAAGTTCTTACCTGCCAGTAAACTTTGATCGCTGTAGAATTCGCAGTCTCAGTGTGGGTTATCCAACAGATCGGCAAAGGATTCCGTTCGTCGAAATCTAACCTCTTCAGGTGAAATTTGTTCGAAACTGGACTTAGTTTGTAATCGTTGTTGCTGTACACGGCGGCTATTCTGAACTTGTATATGTGATCGGATTTGAGCCCAAACACATCGTAGGCCTTAATGTTTGGAGGTATATCTATGTTTGTCGTTTTCCATTCTACAACAGACAACAATTTGATATATCGTGTGAAAAATAAATCTGAAAAATGGTGTCACGTGATATAATTTTGGCGAAACTCTTGCGACGGTTTTAGAAGAAATAAAAAAATTAAAGATGTATGTAAAAATATAAAAATTACACAATAAAATTCGAAATATTTCTAAGTATGTTATAGATAGAGATCAGCGGCCCAAAGTATAATAATATTTTTTGGGTGCATTTTTTATATTTCATGATGCAAACAATATTTAAGGTTTTTAATTTTTCACTATAGTTTTTTAATTTGCAAATATACTTATAGTTTAGCATATAGGTGTATAAGTATCGGCTCCTATAACTTATAACAATAAAGATGTAATTATTGTTTAGTACAACATTTATTTTCGAATTAACGGAAGTTTAGCTTAATAGCAATTTTCTCATGTTGGTAGCTCGATCTAAATGGGTTCCAGTGTATATTATTATATGTTGTGATGCAGAATCCAATTCTATATCGATTGACTATGCTTTTTCTTTCTTGTTATTTGATTAATTTCGATGAAAAGTCAATAAAAATCCAAAGTTTTTCCTAGTGATTTTGACAAAGTTTGATATGCTTTTGATTTATCACATTTATTATCACTCCTAACTGTCAATAAACACTTATGTCATACATGGAAGCACAAGATAATTTGCAATTTTTTTATTTATACTTTGGATTATTATTACAGTAGACCCGCGGTATAGTGAACATGCTCTAACTTTAAATAGTGAACACACAATCTTTTTGTTAATGTATTCTGTTAATGTTAATGTATATGCTGGTCAACAAACACCTCAAAACAGGAAATCAGGTCATTTCCCAAGTGAAATATGGTAAAAAGTACGAAACATGTAAGCCTAAGTGATAAAGAAATCTATAAATAAAAAACTCGTAATGAAACTGAGGTGAGACGAATGAAAAAACCTATAATGTTACTATTACCCCCATTAATATATTTTTATAAAAAAGGGAGGCAGAGATGGGCGGAATTTTATATTTTAGGAAGATTTATGAGACAATGAGCATTCATATAAAAAAAACTGTGATAGGAGAACACAGATTCACTTCATTCATTAACTAGTAATCATGTGCAATCCAAAAAACATAATTAATATGTCGTTATTGATGTAAGTAGCCTAAACTTACCTCTCTTAAGTTCATTCATTAAAAAAAGGTATTTACTTATTGCGACCACAAAACAGGAAGCAGAACTTTGATAGTTTTTTTTTTAATATTTCTGCATTACCACGGAAATGTTTACTCCGCGATTTAAAATGTTGATAGTTCAAAGCTTGCTCGTTTAATTAAAAGTAAAATTTGGAATTTTCAAACTTTTTGGGTCATTCTGGCTCCCCGTGCGCCGTTGCGATTCTACTTTGTATGGAGTACGCGTGACGTCAGAGTTACCGTACTTTCGGCCGGTACCTACCCTTGCTCTGGCTGTGGCCGTGTCTCGGATTCGCAGGTCCAATTTCCTTATACTGCACCTTAAAAAACTGTATTGGGAGTCCGTCGTTGCTAGGTACGTTCCATCGCACTACCACGGTCTCGTCGTTGAGTCGGGTGATGGTCGGTTTGTTCGGGGGCACCAATTTCGGCGTTTTGTTATGCTTTGATGGTTTCTTGGTGCCCTGAGGCTTTCGGTGATGCCTTTGGTGCGGTCGGGACGGCGGCATCGGCATGTCTATACTGGTCGCGAGAGGGATGACCCTGATACTGGTACTGTCGTATACCGTTTTGACCGAGTTCCTTGCGAACAACTGCAGATTGCCGGCGTGGCGCTTCTCGATCGGTCGGAAATAGATCCTGTTTCCGACGGCTTCTATGGCGGAATCGTTACCAACGGAAAATCCGTTTAGGAACCACGTCAGTTGCGGATCCGGTGTACCTACAATAAATTAGGGTTTTCCTTAAAAAATTTCTCATATAGCTGCAGCTACATCATATTCCTCAGATAAATGACAACATTTTTTTTTTACAAAAACTTCGATTCCTCCGACGTCGGTTTTTGTTGAGTCGAACTTGCTGACGTTTCGCCTTCTTGGCTTCTTCAGAGCTTGAATGAAGCTGGCTCGTATTTTACTCTGTATCTGTTTATATATTGTTTGAGGGGGCGGAGATAGTGACAGGTAGAGACCTAAGCCGCGGTTAAGATTGTTGCAAGAATTGTAGTTTTATCGAATAAAATTTTATGTCCGGTGGTTTGATGAGTTTATTTGTCTTAGTCTTAAAGCTCTTTCATGTTCTTTGAGCCTAGTTGATATTTTTCGTCTGGTCTCTCCAATGTATTCTTTGTCGTATATGCATGGAATTCTGTAAACTCCTGGCATCTCAAAGATATTGAGGGATTTGTGGACAAGTGATAAATCTGGTTTTGACGTTTTATTTATTTAGAACTTTTGATATGTGTCCAGTGATGTTTTGAATGTAAGGAAGGACAACAGCGGCAAGTGTGGCATTGCTTTCGGCCTCATTGCGATTGGAAGGTTGTGGTGTTGTTGAGAGTTTCAGGAATAGGAACTTTAGTAAAGAGGGATTCTACGTCGAAACTAACCAGAATATCTTGTGTATCTAATGTAATACCTTTCAATTGTTCACAATGAAGTGAAAGGAATCAAGAACAAAACTATCAGTTTTCCCTTTTGATATGAAAGCTAGATATTTTGCTGGAGAATATGTTGGAGAACCAATGGTACTGAGAATAGGTGTGTGAATCTTTGGGAGTCCATAGAGACGAGGAATTTTAGAGTCATGAGGGGTGACATACTTTTTCACGGAGTCTGATATAACAGATTTAAAAACTTTTCTGGGTTTGGTTTTATGATAGGTCCACAAAGTGGGACATTTTTAAGACGTTGCTGAAACCACTGCAACACTGCCCGATCCAAATATTCAAATTGTGGCTTTCTGCCAGAACAGCCTGAATGATTTTTTCTTTGCACTTACAAATCGTGGATACAGTCGACGGTTAAGTCCGTATCGACGTCCCACCTCACTTTTCTTTTCTCCCCGTTCTATCTCCCGATTTAAAGCAACTTTATCATCTAGACAGAAATTTTTCAGCTTACTCGCCATGCTTGCCGTATTCACTAAGTCAAATTAGAACTGATTGAAACAATGGTGTGCTTTTATACATTCCGATAAAGGCATTAATATAATCGCTTATTACGAGAAAAATGTTTAGGACGACCAGGTTTTGGGTAATTAGATCATTAGGGTAAGGAATTCTCGTTATAAAGAGTTTCCCTATAGGGAGTTTTCACTCTATTTATATAAAAATTTATATGTTCAATAAATTTTTCATTACATTTTTATTTGGATTCCATAGTATATTAATTAGGGACGTGTAACGTACGTCACACAAAGAATGACGTAAAATTTCGCGAGCTGTGACATTTTCACGTCATTTTTTCGTCATATACGGTAAAGCCGAATCAACGTAGTTGGTTACCTATAATTAACGTCAGCTGGATTGCAATGACAAAAATCTGTCCAGAAAGTTTAATTAACAAGCGGTTGGGTCAATAACTTTTTTATAGTTTGATATGCAAGTGAGTGACATACCTGTGACGATGCATTCCAGATCCAAATTTTCACCCTGCTTAACGTCCGTTGTGTTCATTAGGCAGTCGACACTAGGATCCTCGTTATACCTGACGGTTATTTGATGCGACACTGTACCGTATATATTCGTATGATTGCATACGTATATGCCGTCATCCGTGGAGGTAATGTTTTTAATTATTATACCTCCCGTAATCAGTTCGATCCTGCTGGAGGGTAACTCGGACTGTTTCTTGAACCAAACAACCTTTGGTATGGGATTTCCTACAGCTGAGCATGCCAAGAACACAGAAGACCCTGAAATTCATATACTTCATAGATATAAGAAAGTGACTAACTGATATGAATTAAGTAAAGACTCGGGCAAGCTGTAAGAATTAAATATGGCCGAACAGGTCCGTACTTTACTTAGAAATTAATTATCTGGGGTTTTGTTAGGAAAGGTATTAAACAATATTTATTTATGTATTTATGTTTAAATCTAAAATAAAAGTACAAATTATTTTTATTACCTACTTGAATTACTTAAAATTATTCACATAATATATCAGTATCACTATCGCTATCATCGCGTTTTCTGATTATTTGTTCTATATTATTTGAAATATGGATATACGATTGTTCTGCTTTTTCTATATGTTTAACATAATTTGCCCAACTTTGTGGAGGGATGTTAAAAACCTCGGTTTCCACAAGTTTGAGGACATTGGAGTTAACACGGGGAAAAACATTGTTACGACGAATGGCAGATTTCAGTTGGCGCCAAACATGTTCAATGGGATTAAATATACAGTGGTAAGGTGGAAGCCTTAAAACTGTATGCCCCAGATTTTTTGCATAATTATCACAGACGTATTCCTTTTGTAGGTTCAACCTTTGTAGAACCTCAATTACTTGCTTTTTGGTATTATCTTCGTAAAAATAAATGTCGTTATTATACATGTAGTTTTGGATTGTTGCTTTTGTGTCACATGAGGAAGGTGTTTTAGTCAACTGTCCACTGTGATAACTTGCATTGTCCATTACAATTACGCTATTAGGATGAATGTTTGGAACTAGTTTGTTTTTAAACCAACTTTCAAATAAATCAGCGGTGGTGTCTTCATGGTAATCCAGAGAAGAATCTTTAATATTTTTCGCAGACAGAGAAAGTCCATTTGGAAACAACCACCTTTAGAGCCATCATGCAAAATAGTTATTCTTTTACCTCTTTTTGATGGCGCCTTTGTTTTATACTTATCAGTTGAGTCAACCCAACCCTTTTCCGGGGTATCATAAGTATCGAACCAGGTTTCATCCAAGTAAATAATTCGCCTTTGTTGTTCTCTGTAAATCCTATTTTTTTTTGTAGATATTCCAGTCGCCATTTCCGAATTCTAAAAGCCTTTTGTAATTTTTTTTAAATCTAAAACCCATGAATACACTTCCATAAGTTAGTTCTGCCACATTTAACACCGGTTTCATCTTTTTCAAGCCTCCTAATTAAAATATCTAATGTAGGCACGCTTTGTTCCTCGTATAACTGGTAAATTTGTCAGCATCGCTTCTTTTTTTCCTCGTTGAAATGGGATTATTCCCAATTTTCCATACAGTTGATGTTGGCCGTTTCTTCTAAAGATGCTTGCTTGCTGGCACCACGTTCAATGAGAATCAAATAAACATTGTTTATAACTTCCTTAGTCTCAATAGAATTGTGTTTTCTACATTTGGGCGGGAGCATCTCCTGAGATACACTAGACTCGCACATATTTTGCATAATTCGCTGTTTTACACACGAAATAAGAATGATTACTAATAAACTTAAACTAAGTAGTATACCAAACCAAAGAGTATTAAACACAGGTAGGTATAAAATTATTTTCTATTACGGAGCACAATTTTACCTGAATTTAAATTCCGAAACTTTAGGTAATAATCTTGTTGCATTGTATGTTAATGACCACCCTTGGATAATCCCATTCAAAAGCAATTGGTCACTTTCTTATATCTATGAACAGACCATATCTACATATACACGTGATGAAGGGAACCATACCGAGACTTTTTCTTAACGTAAATAAGCAGTCTCACAACGAACATCAGTGCCGCCAAGTTTAGAAATAAACTACGATAACTTTATCGTGGAAATATTAAATTAATGAATTGCATATCGCCTTAATAATATGTTGCGCAGTTATATGTATCACAGCCGTTAGAATGATTATTCGTTTTTCTTTCGGTAAATATAACTTAACCCATTTTGTCCCAGCGGTGCCTTAATGCACCACCTATTTTATGATTTTTTTTTTCACATCCAGGAAATATTTTTGTACATCCATTTAGAAATTTTATTATTATCGTAGAAACCGCTAATTTATGTGGCAGGGAAAGATCTTATATATGACTTCAAAAGTTAACAAAAGCGGTACATCAATTTGTATCACATTTTCAAGTAAATCCAAAATAGTACAAAAAAAATATTTTGGATTTGTATTGCCATTTTTGTTAAGTCATGTAGATGACATTGCAGAAAACATACATTGGAAATACTATATTGATTATGCTTTATTTTTTGAAAATATTTACTGGTGTGTGAATGCACCACTGGTTTTATCTGTGAAACAAAACTTTGCTATTGCAAGTCTAGACAAGTCAGCGCATGTAGAATAAACATCCAACAATTAGCGTGTTCTTTAGTATTAGTTTGTGCCTTGGGCAGTCAACGTTACAGTTCGTAAAATATGGCATTTCCGAGGTATTTTACTCAAAAGGAATTAGAGGCGGCTATGGAGGAGATCCTTATGGATGAGGACAATAACAATCAAAGTCGTAAGTATTATTTGGATTTAGGTATTCTTATGTATTGTAGCATTCCATTCCTTGTAAATTTATGCTAAAAATAACGTGAAAAAATATTTACAGAATATATTAACGCGGTCTATATTCTACAAGACGTGGATACCTTGACTGACGAAGAAGATATGAACGATAACATAAATCTACAAGAGTTTGGGGAACCAACTGATATAGTTGAAACTTTCGAGTTACATACACCGAATGATACAGCTGTCTTTCAAGAGTACTGTAATTCATCAACTACTGAACCTGAATGGGACTCATCAGATGATGAAACCCTGGAATTCAACAGAAGACGTATGCTTTCTGCAAACGACAGGCTTGCTTCTACTGTCAAATGGAAGAAAGGTCAGATTAAGTACACTCACACACCTATGTCCGATGAATTAGATCATGCGAGGAACTAAAAAATAGGCCTTCTGGAAAAACTCCGCTTGAAATATTTTTTATGTTTTTTGATGACGAAGTGATTGATTTGATTTTAAAATTTTCGGTAAAATATTATCAAGACAATAACCGCCATGAACTCTCGTTGTCAAAAAATTAACTTTTAAATTTCGTAGGCATTTTATTTCTCGGGTTATCATTCATTGCCACTTATTTAACATTATTGGTCTACTGATGAAGACAAAGCAATTGATCTTATAAAAAAATGTATGAGCCGCAATAGATTCCAATTGATAAAACAAAACCTGCACTTATCTGACAATAATCTGTTGGATAAAAATGATAAATTTTCAAAAGTTAGACCCTTCTTTGATGTAATAAATAAAAAAAATCTTCAGTTTGGCATATTTTTGTTTAACTTATCCATGGATGAACAAATTGTACCTTACTTTGGCCGCCATTCCTGTAAAATGTTTATAAGGGGTAAGCCAGTTCGTTTTGGCTTCAAACTATGGTGCCTTTGTTCACCTGATGGTTACCTATTTTATTCACTTCCATGTGGTGGTGCTCAAAATAAACCTCATTCTGACCTTGGTCTTGGCGGTGAAGTTCTCATAGTTTAGTGGTGAATGCATGGAAATTGTATAATATTGTCAACGAACAAAAGATTTTCCAGGTAGATTTTAAATTTTACATTGCTTTGTGACTTTTAAAAATTGACAATACAATTACTCAAAAAAATCTTGCACCTGCCATAGATGAAGTACGTTATGATAATCAAGGTGACCTCATTATTGTTCATGCTAATAAAGCCCGAAGGAGATGTAGAATCTGGCACAGTCATATAATTTACGTTTGTAATAAGCGTAATCTGCACCTACATACTCCATGCTTTGCAAAATATCACCAATATTGAAACCGGGTGTTACCAGTGGTGCGCTCACGCACCATGAAATATTCTATTTGGAAAACAATCTACTGGTTTTCTGTCGAATTTGAACTTTCTTTTGTATATTTCTGTATAAATTATATGTTACATCTAATGTGCCCCAAAACATTATTTAATATTTTTCCCCGTGGTTCGTTTACGCACCAGTATTTTTTGTATGCTTCGAGTTTTTTTTTTTGACCCATGTAATTTATTCTTAAGTGCAACAAAATAAATAATTTCAGAGCGAAAAAGCATTTTTTTAATCTTTTTTTAAACTTGGGATAATATGGGTTAACTTAAAACTTTTAGGTGCACAATTTTCTGTCGGTTGCTACTTCTTTAACTGCTGCAATCCCACGTATAGTGTGTCTCAAAGTATCGTGGAAATTATCTTTTAAAAATATCCCGGATAACAGTTTCATTGTAAAGCATAACTCAAGTTATCCATCACAGCCGCCTGTTACAAAAAGGACGAAATTCTTCAAGTACAAAAAATGAATTCAAGAATATTTGCCAAAAAAATTATATTTATTTTCAATTCTATTACAAAAAAGGCCAAGTTTTGGAAGTTGTAAATTCATATTAAAACTCTCGTTGCAACAAAATTAAACGCAATAAATATTAGTCTTACTTTAAATCCAAAAAATAAAGACGATATACTTTGGGACAAAGTATACCTCTTTTAACGACCAATCGGTGGTTTAGTTCACAGATATTGGCGAATAAGACATTTAGAGGATATTTTTTTCAATATTGCAATATCTAGAGCAACAAATATTAAAAACTTTACAAGTTTTCTACATTCACGTGTAGACTTGAGGGTCAAATAATTCTCACTAAATACTTTGGCGTACGGAATGGATTATGATGAAGCAACGGAAAATTTGAAAATTTTTTAAAAAGCAAAATTACACTTAACAAATATATTGTGTGATTAGAGGAAACTACAAGACAATCTTTTAAAATTCCTACTCACTGCTACTCAGATTTTTCTAAAGTTCTCCGTTTCCCTCATAAATCAATAAAACTTCGTTATGCGACAATCATAGTTGGCTATGGCCGTGTCGGTATCTGTGGCGCAAAAAGGCGGAAATATAAGACGTTTTTTTTTTCATGCATTAGTAGGCCGTGCGTGGTATGTTCAAAAAGACTTCACATGGCAACATTTAAAATTATTTAATAAACACTGGAACTTTAAAAAAGATAAGTGCGGTAAACGGCATTTGATTCACGAGTTTTTAATAAACGAGTGAGTTAAAAAGTTTACCGAACGTGTTGCATACTATACTTTTTCTACGACCCTTAGTTTTTGGGTACATTTTCGCAAAACAACACAAATACATTCACTGATATGACCGTCAGACTTGACAAACGTCAAAATTCAAACCGTGGGAAATATCTCCGAAAATATCCGATTGCTCCCAAATCCGTGCCGTAAAATCTCGGAAATTTCCGAAGTGGCTCGGATTCATGGGAAACAAAACTGACGTGGTAAAGTGACAGCATGAGGATTTTCTGTGCTCCAGCGATAAGAATTGTATCTGTTAAATATTGCGGAAACAATCAATTCTCGTTTCGAAAATATTATTTTATCATTGCATTTTCAGATAAATTCTTATAATTGGTGAACTTTTCTGGTACGATATGGCTTGAATTTAAGTTTTTTTTTTAAGTAGTACAATTCCCGGATTTCCTGAAATGAATAGGTTTTTCTAATTACGAGTACCCTGTATATAAAAAGTGTCACAATTCTTAGTTTCAATCATTCTGTGGCTGGAATCAACAAAACTGGATTTTACCACGATGTTATGAATACCGAGTGGAAGTATAATAGTAACGGAGAATACCCATACACTTTTCTAGACTTGCTAAAAAATTACCTACCTTGGTGCAAGAATAAAATCATGCAATGGACAAGAGAGTTCCTTCCAAGACTTCCCTTCAAATGCTTCAGAAAGAGTACTGTTTGTACTCGCGATTTTGCATAAACACGAATTTAAGAAATACGTTTTTCCTTATCATTGGTAACGTAGTCCAATTATGCTGCTATCGGCACATGTAAAAGGGAAAGTCTTCTTCTTCTTCAACTCTCTTGTTCTCTTCAAATATCGGAAATCATCAGCGCTGTCTCCATTTTGTCTGCTGCTCTTTCTTTAGGGGCGATATTTTTAGCCTCTTTTCACTTCGACTTTTGCTTTTTGTTTATGATTGATGGACCTGTCATTATTAAATAGATCTCGACTGTCCAAGACAATAGCAGTTTGTCAAAGCCTGTATGTACTAGCTGCCAATTTTCTTTTGGCAATTTTTATTTTGCTAAGTTCCGAATAATTATTTTTCCAGCGTCAAGGGGAAGTAAATGAATTATTCCACAAAGCGTAAATAAAGAATTGAAGAATTGGTTCATCTCTTTATAACCGATCTAGACGATGAAAGATCCGCAGGCGATACCGATTCTGATTGCTTTTGACAATGTACCTGTGCTTTCCTTAATAATAGGAAAAGGTATTTTTTGTTAAATTTGTTCTACTAAATGCAAAGCATTGGAACTTTATTAACAATGTATCTTTGTAACTGTTTTGTACGTTAAAATAAATGTTATGTATGTTTGTATTAAAACGCGTTATAAATCCGGTGTTTTGTTCCCGTCAAAAGCCAAAACGATATACTTTGGGACACACCATACAGTCATAAACCACGTGTCACGAACATGTACGATTTTAGTTGCTGAGCGCTCCTTACGGGTTCTGCATAAATAATGAGCTGACATTAAAAGAGGCACGAAATTTGATTTCCCGTTACTAGGTATTTTATTTGATAACTAAAAACGGCACTTACCACTTAAAATTGTATACTCCTTTTTCGGTTCCACAATAAAACTTGGAGGTTTTGGGAGTCCGTTTCTGACGACCTCCAACTTGAAAACGGCATCGGATGTTTCTTTTTTGAATATATTAGTCGCGACGCACCTGAAAACGGAGTTTCGGATATTTTTGTTGATAAATAACGGTGATTAATTTTTTCTAACCCAACTGTGAGAGAAAATTTCATATTTATAAAAGCACTCCAGACATTTGAGGCTACGTTACAGATTCAGTGACGTGGCATTAATAAGTCAATTTGAGGTAGATTGCAAAAAGTTTAAGATACTGTTAGCGCTTCGGTTATAAAAAAAATGTTAGTAATTCTAATTTCAAAATCGTAAAAAAAATTTTTGAATGAACTGCACAATTGTCAACCAGATCTGGAGTCATCTTGTAAAATAGCCCAGTCTCGTCACCATTGAAAATATCCGCAATACTGGGCCACTTATTCTGTATCCAATTGTTAACATCTTCTGCTTCACCAGAAATTTTTCCGACGTTGATGTTGTCAAGAACTTTAAAACGTTCGAGCCAACCTGTAGAACAACTAAAATCCTCACCCTATAATCTCCTGGGTAATTCTTCGCTTTCGATTTCAGAACTGGACCACTATTACAATATTTTCGGAACTTCGAACTTGAAACCATCGTGAAAGAGGTTTATCTACATCTGAACGTACAGGATTTCTATTTTTTTAATCGTGTGGGATTTACAGTCACTTGCTTTCTTGATCTTTTCGTGATTACTCCAAATTATAGATATTGTTGTTTTAGTCAATTTCTTTTGTCTAGCAATTTCCGTCTTACCGATGCCACTTTCAATACTTCTGATAATCTCTATCTTTTCTTTTACCGTACAGACTTGCGCCGATCCGCCATTTTAACCATAAGCTCAAAAAATCGTACAAGCGCACGTGGTTTCCGTAAAGCAATAAAGTGGAAACCAAAGAGTATAAAATAGAGGGGAAGGTCGCGTATACTGTTACGAATGCCATCTATTATTTGTGTCCAAGTACTCAAAAAATCGTGCTAGCGCACCTTTCTATAAAACAATAAAGTCGAAATCAAAGAGTATAAGATAGAAGGGAAGGTCGCGACAACCACTTGATTTTGTGAATTAAGTTCAGCTTCAAATTAATTTAGATAAAGTGAGGTTAATGCCGGTTTACACCTTTCAATAGAAATTTGAATTTCCTTTAACACGCAAGAAAAGATCGATTGTATAAACAGAAAGGATATTAAAACAATTTTAAACGCAGTGTAGACGCTCCTCAATTATTATTACGCTTCAAAAAATAGAGAGCGTGATAACTCGAGTCAGAGTGGCTGTGGCTTCATTGCGTGGCAGAGTTGCCGTCATTTGCAAAAAATCGGGATTTACCTATAGTTCCCGGAATCTTCCACGGCAACGTTGGGCAAAATCATGCTGCCGCTATGTTTGTCCACAGGGATGGGAGAAATGTACGTTTCTCCTTTCATGTAGTCGATGTACGCGTCCGGGTTAGACTCGGGCGCGGCGCATCTCCAGCTCACAGTGTTGCCAGATTGCACCGATAACGATACGTTCTTTTGACCCGCGAATTTTTCCAATTTCTCGATGCTGATGCGCCAAGGCACGGACGCCACTACCGATGCGCCATAGTATGCCAGACACTGGTAGTCACCGACAACGTCCGTGTTGTTCACCTACAAGAAGATCTTTAGTTAGCCCAACTCAAAAGAGACAATAGTAAAAGCGGCCAAGAGGGAATTCATTCTTGCCTAAGACTTCTGCAACTATTTCAAAACTGGTGTGGTAATTTCAGCGTATAATAACTCTAGCGAATATTTTTGTCAAGGAAAGAAATATTTTTTATTTTATCCTATTGCAACTCTGTTGAAAGTTTTCTATTTTAGAATTTCTTAATACAGGAACTCTACTAAACAGATGTATGCAATGGGTGTATAATATACTACTAATAAATAATAAAAAATGCAGATTTCAACCTAAAAACTCAGTTTCTGGCTTTTCTTGTGGATGTGAATTGGATTCCAGTCAAAATGGGCTTTACCGAGACAAAAAAATTGCAGATATCATCTTAAATCCTCATTTTCAAATAGTTACCAAAATTGGCTTTTTCGCCATTTATTGTATCGAAATCTACAACAAAACCCGCAGATATGACCCTAAAACCGCTCTTTCTGGGACAAATGGTTGGCTTTTCTTCTTAGTTTCGGAAAGACTACAGGTATAAAAGGCATTAAGGCCCCATATTGTTACGAAAACACCAACAAACCTGCAGATAACAGCATGAAACCTCACTTTCTGGCCCTCCCCACTCGATCAGATTCTCGTCAACATCGGCTCTTTCGCCACTTATTTATTCTAAAGAAATCTCCAATAAACCTGCCGATATTGTAAAGAAAATGGGCAAACAAGAGGTCTGTGCAAAGAAGGTTTGTGAATTTAGGCAGTTATTTCGAAGATTGCCAAACTCTACTACGGTTTGAGTGAAAACACTCCCCTGCCAGAAGGCAGCTTCTTGCTATTTTGGAGAAGCAATGAAGCGATTTCAACTTTCTTATGGCTATCCAGAAATATATTAATGTTGCGCCGTGTGAGTTGCCTTTCTTGCACAGAACTCGATGTGTTTTGGAACTATCTGTGATTTAAAACGGTCTTTTCCAGTGTAGGTCAGTCTTATTCTGTACCCACTGTAGTTGGTGTTATGTTAGGTGTGTTGTTCTACTGAAGAAAAATTCGAAAATCCATAGAAATTAAAAAAAAAGGAGTTTGATCAAAATTAAATTAAATTAATAAATCAATGAGAGACTATATGATTCTATAATGTCTTCCTAAAACTAACATGTGCAAGATTTATTGTATTGTCTGCATTTGAAACGAGAAGGAAACCATTCAAATTATAGTGACAAGCTATAGATTTGAAATAAATTGTAAGGAAAGTTCTTTTCTTTCTGTAATGGCTATTTTGAGACTCGAAAGTTCTATTCTTTACTTTCAGGCACATGCAATTTTAATGTAACAGGTATTCTTAGAAAATATAATATTTTCTAAGAATTAAACAATTTGTGTAAACAACATCACAGTACTGGAATAAGGCTAGTACGAAGGAGTTTCAAAGAAAAATCTTTAACTTTTTTGATATAAAGTGACGATTACTATATATATGTTTTATTCTGACATAAGCTCTTCGACAACAACTATTTACATGAGCGGTGAATCTAATACTAAATCAAATACTAGGCCGAGATTACGCACAGTCTCCTTTACGGGCAACACATTGTCCCCGATTTCAACCCTTATATTGCCCTTTGCACTGTCAATATCTAATTTACGTCATAATAATAATAATAAGCAACATTTTTGGGGATTAAGAAGAGGGAGTGCTTTAAAGACCATTTAGTGCATTCAGCTCACTACTCAACATTCCACAGCTCTCCCCGGAGGACCAGTGGTTCTGATAATACAGATCCGATTCTGACACTTTAGGATCTACTTGATAAAAAGAAAAAAAAGTTATCGATGTGTTACTAAGGCCGACATAGTGCAGAATTGCCAGAAGCAATTTATGATCAATCATATCGAATGCTTTCGAGAAATCCGATAAAGGCACCGTGAGATTACCCTCGTCTGCCTTCCTCAATATATCGTCTGTTACATTAGCCAGCACTGTAGCGCAACTGTGATTTTTTCCAGAGCCTGATTGAGTTTCAGGAAGAGTGTTGTTATTTTCAATATGATCGAATGATTCGATGTTTATGCATTTCTCCAATATCTTCGACAGGTACGGTAAAACACTAATTGGGCGTAAATCTTTGTAACTTTTGGGGTTGGAAATTTTGGGCAATGGCGATACTAGACCTCTTTTCCAGCATTCCGGAAAGACTGAAATTAAATTAAAAAATTAATAATATGAGTGAGGAATGATAGAATGAATGGACAGCAAAGCTGTAAAGCCATTATTCCAATATCGTCAGCACCCTCCGCTCTGGACTTCATTGCTGTAATAATATTGAGTATCTGAATTTCATTAATTTCCTTAAAAGTTAAAATAGATGTTATGGCTTCAGAAATTTTTGACTATAGAAGTTCAGAAGTTAAATCTTAAAGAGTAGATGAATAATCTGTATCAGTAGTCGATATATCCACCACTTGTTTGAAGCTAGCAGACTCCAAAATGTTCAGTGAATCTGTAACCTGCGCTGAATGTATGTCGAATAAATTAATATTACAGTCGCCTACTCAACATATAAATTCACATTTAAGAATAAGTTAGGAAAGAGTCTTCTCATTCGATTCACGAATACGAAGTACGTAAACAAGACGGTTATTTGACATAAGTTTTTAAATTCAATTCCTCGCGTCTTAATTTGGTGTTTAAAATATCCGAGCAATGTTATTTAAAAAAAAATATGGTCGAGTTTACTAATGACGTGTTGGCAGATATGATTTTTATGTATGGTTTCGTTGATAGCAGTGCGCAAGAAGCTACGCCATTATATCAAGAGCGCTTTCCTAATAAATAGGCGAACATAGAAGGTTGACTTTCAGGGCAAATAATCATGTAAATGGCCGTAATTATCGCCGGTTTGGCAATATTGCTAGAAGGAGTACATGACGGCACGCCTACTCACTTTAGTGTTGCAGTAAGAAAATATTTATATTACACATTTAATAATCGATAGGTAGGTCGCGGCACCATGGCCTCCTAGGTCACCAGATTTAAATAGTTGGGACTTTTTCTTGAAACTCTGGTTTATTGCACCCCAGTTAACCCATTTTGTCCCAGTGGTGCGTTAATGCATCACCTATTCTATGATTTTTTTTGTCACATCCAGGAAATATTTTTGCACATCCATTTAGAAATTTTGTTATTATCACTACTAATTTATGTGTAAAGGAAAGATCTTATATATGACTTCAAAAGTTAACAAGTCAAATTTTCATTAAAGCCGAAAAAATTTTTTTCCAATTATTCGATACGTACGTGGACCTCGAGGATAGATTTCCGTTTGTGGACTTTGAAATTGTCTTTGGGCAGCAGACCGAACTTGGCGGAACTTAAATTAATATCAGTCTTGGAATTGTAGGGTTCGTTGCTAGGGTAGAACTTCCACTCAAACTTGTCCGGCTCGATGTTCATCTCGCATACCAAAGCGGTAGCGTAGTTAATGTCTACGACTATCGATTCTGGAGTTGTGACCATGTATTCGAAATCTGCAAATCAAGCAAAACGAAGCGCTTAACGGCGTACATTAATTTTTGAAGTGTCCCGTTTTACCCGCAATGACGTGTTCTGGGAGCGCAGCCAGCGTAGCCAGAACGGCACAAAGACGACGGACACACATAATGTTGTTGAAGCATTCCTGGAAAACAAAGAAAGAGAAATTAAAAATAACGGTGTTTTGTCTTCAGATTCGTGGTTGATATTGGAGTTATTTTATAATTTTACGTAAAGTGGCACCGAAAAAAAGGATTCTCTCGTTAAAGGAAAAGGTGGAAGTTGTTAACGTTTTAGACAAAGAAAGTGTTTCAGTTCGTCATTTGGCGAAGAGGTTTAATATAGGGAAAACGCAAGAAGCTGAAATAGCCGAAAATAAGGAAGATGTCAGAAGTAAATGGCAATCTGGAACTAACATAAATCAAAAGGAAGGTTTTGCTATAGACGAAAGATGTTTTGAGTGGTTTGTGAAAGCTAGAAATCAGAACATTCCAATGTCAGGGCCGTTAGTGAAAATGAAAGCTAAGGAAATTGCGACTTCTTTGGGCTACAATAATTTCAGTGGCTTAAAAAGTGGCGAGGAGACATAGCGTTAGTTTTAAATGCATATCTGGTGAAGCTGCTGCAGTAAATCAGGTTGATGTGTCACAGTTTTTGGAAAAACTTCCGTCCATGTTGCTTGGCTACAAACCAGAAAAAGTGTACAATGCAGATGAAAGTGGACATTTTTTCGTGCATTGCCCGACAAAACTCTGTCTCTCAAAGAAGAAACATGTGTGGGTGGAAAGTTGTCTAAAGATAGACTAACCATTTTATTCTGTGCAAATATGACCGGTGAAAAATACGATTTGGTTGTGATCGGGAAAGCGGCTCGTCCTCGTGCTATAAAGTACGTTGCTATTAAGGATCTATCAGCCACTTGGAAATCCAATAAAAAGGCGACCGGAAAATGGGAATCCAAAAAGGGCAAGTTCTTTTATTTTTGGACAATGCATGCTCTCGTCCTCTTGAACTGAAATGAAAAATGCGAAAATTATATTTTTACCACCAAACACAACTTCAGTTTGTCAGCCCTTGGATCAAGGTATCATACAAAACTTTAAATTGTATTATCGGCACTTGATTTTGAAATATATTTTAACAAAAATTGAAGATGTTCAAAGCTTATCTGGGTTAACAATGTCCATCAAAGCTGGATTCAGTAAAAGTGAATGTAGCTCAGAATTTACTGAATAAGATTATTACGATCCTGAAGACGATCTGTCCTAAGCGACACTTACTGAGTTACTGCGACATGCAATCCAGAATGCAGATGATTTCATGACCTTGACAACTTTTCCAAATTGGATGTAGAAAGCCGCGGCACACTTGAAGAAGGTAGTCCAAATGACTCAGAAGAAGAAGTGGAAACACCATGCAGTTCAAAAACGGTAAATTCATATCGGGAAGCTCTGAATCATATTTATATATTAAAAACATTTGCTAGAGATGGTTTCACTGCATTTCAACACTTAAAAAATTTAGAAAGTTATTACGAAAATTGTCTCCTTCAGCAAAATATGGCGAAATTTCGTCTGACAAGCATTTTAGACATTTTTCAAAAACCTAAGGAATGATTTTTTTTTTAATTTTATATATGTTGACGATAAATACATAACTAGTTTAAAAATGTTGCCAGTTTCTGTTTCCCTTTCCTCCTATCAATCAATCGATAAGTCGTTATTGAATTAGAAATATTTTTAAAGATTTCAAAAATACACCTAAGAGGTACTTTACGTACTTCGATTGTAATAAAACAGATAGACAATTACTTAAAAAAGAAATAACAATGATAATAATTCTCGATATTGTTATGACCATGCAGAGAGGCGGTTTTTTTTTTAAGTGAGAACCGTACATGGGATTGAAAAAAATCAAAAAATTAAATCGGAGATTGTAAGACTAATTTTTATTTTTAGAGAATTCAGTGGCGTACCATCAAAGTCTGCCAAAATAGACATGTGAAATTCCGTACGCTCGCCACTGGTGTATTTAAAAAAAAGTGATACATTAAATAATTAATTCTTAATTAATTAATTAAAATGTCTAGAGTGGCTTTTAAAAATTATGATAAATAAATAGTTTTTTTCTTAGACTTCCGACACCCTGTGTTCGGACATACCTCTTATTTAGGACGTAGAATATGCCATCAAAATTTGACAGACCCTGTATAACGAGCCCTTTCTTAACCAAAAGAGGAGTGGTTTACATTGTAATATTCCCGGGGGAAATCGGAGATTAAACACCCAAAACGGAACTACGAGTTAACAAAAACTAAGCCGGATGTGACCATTTTAGACGGGGTTAATTTCCAGCGGTAACAAACGGCCGCCACATGGGTGGTTTTTCGTTACCTCATCTATCGAATGTCACGTATCTAATTTGTAGTAGAGCTTCGTGACCCAATACGACACCGGAATCAGAACTATGACGCGAAATTATTTATTGGGGAGTTAGTTCGAGCTTGATTTATTTTAACAAGAATTGACAAACGTCAAAATTCAAGGCGTGGGAAATATCTCCGAAAACATCCGATTTCTCGCAAACCCGTGAGGTAAAATCCCGGAAATGTCCGAAGTGGCTCGGATCCGTGGGAAACGAAACTGACGTAGTAAAGTGACGTTTCCCGCACGCTACGGGAGTAGAAAAACATTTTGCCCTTTCCACCTCATAGATGTCATCTAAACTAATTAATAAGTGAATAGCTTTTTTTTTATTTGGACCTCTTCTCCCAAATGCTTGACAAATCTGTTGTGAGTGTAGTGGATTTCGAGGCAGACGATGTATTAGCAACAAGATCTACAGAACTGTCAAGCGATATTCGAGCGCCTAGATAGAAACAAAAAACAATAAAAACATAATTTATAAATTCATATCATTGTTAATAAATGATAAACCAAATACGCGCCCAATTTTCCTTTAAAAAAATTAGTAAAGGGTTTATTGGATTTTATTAAATTTGTACGGCAGATTTTACAAATAGTTTTACACTCAGATTTATTTAGATCTGTGGTTTTAATGTAAAACTGCGATATGCTATTTTCTTGTCTTCCAGCTATATCAGGAAAAAATCAGATCGCGAAAGAAATTTTGTTGCAAAAAGCGAGTTCTGACGAATACTTAGTGTGCAAATTGTTGTTTTTAGTGGCTTTAAAATATTTTGTAATTGCTAAAAGAAAAACCGCGAAATATATATTTCGAAATTAAAAAAAAATTATTAAAATAAATAAAATCACGATTTTAAAAAAATCAATGATTTTTGTTTTTTTTTTTAAATAAAAATCAATCAAAGCTTACCCAACACTGCCTCCAAGCATTTTTTAATTTTAGATTACGATTCTAGTTTGACTTAGTGAGTTAATAAGCGAGTCGTAAAAGAAGTTCAATGTGTTATATACTATACATTTGCCCAGACAGCATGAGTACGTTCCTTCATATGGGCGACTGTCCACGGTAGACGTGCCAATAAAAATAAGAAGAAGAACGGCCTGTCAAATTAAATTCTATATTGCGTTCTTAACACTTCAAACCTTCAGATCAGCAAAGCGGTAATAATAGAGTTTGCTAAATGTTGAACTAATGGCCTTTCATCAGAAAACAAAATATTTGAAAACAAGAAGAAATGTCTTTGCTCCATATTTTCCTATCTGAGTAATCCACTCAAGACTTTTCAAAGAATCTGGTATAAGCAAAGATTAGAAAGCACGTTCTTTTTTTTTTAATATATATATTTTTATTATGAAATTTTCAACTACTGTATCATTCATGATACATTTTGTTTCACATTTATTTTTATTTTTAACAAGCAATTTAAAAAAAAACATTGTTAAGATTAACTTGTCACGTGTCAGGGCCAGTCACTTCTTCAATCAGCCATCTTATTTTTCTAAAATGCCTGTATTATTTAGGGAGCTAAACAGAACCAATACAAGAAAAAAAACAGTTGCTATGTATAATGATGAAAAAATTATCGGTAGAATTTTTAAATTATCCGTACAAAAAAAGATTAAAAATATTAAAAATGAGACGGATTTTATATTACAATGATATGACTTGTGAAAGTAGTGTTTGCTAAGTTTGCTTGAAACTTGATACCTTGCCTATAATCATATTTTTTTTGAATTTGTGTATAGTCTCGCGTATGGGTCGATAGAATCTAGCTAATTATAAAAACAAACAATGCCGCTTTCATATTCATTGGAATTAACATAAACGATACGCATTGGTTTGTTAACTAAACGCGTGGGCAACCCTGCTGAAAAACTTGCCGGTTGCCTAATCTGACCTTATACGTCACGTGTGGCACCTAAGTTCACTCCGACCATATTTCACTAAGTGTGTATTAAAAAACTGTGCTCGTGTAGGTGTCTAATAATGACGTATTAAAAAGGCTTTATATGGTAACGTTCGATTTAGTGCTTTTGTTTACGAAGTGGTTTCATTTGAAACGTTGGGAAAGAATATACAAGGCGATTCAAGTTGGGTCAAAGGCTGTAGAGAACTAGCAAAGAGAACTCTACCAAATTTGATACACCTACAACCATTATAAATGTCCGCTTATAATTTCGCAATGATGTATTTAATTAATGATGCAGATTCTAAAGAAAAATTTTGCTCAAATCGACCTATCTATTCTATGCATTTTTTTTAAAAAAGCAAATATATAAACAGTACGTTAGAAAAAATATAGGAAATACCTGATCTACATTTCGATACATGTGTGATTTGTTCTTGTAATATATTTACATGGTACATTGTAAAATAGGAGATTTTTTAGGTAAAAATATAACGACTTAACATAACTTAAGGTCAAAAGTTGATATCAACCGAGATATAGGGTGTGATACACTTCTTACACCAGTAAAGTAGGCTTTAAAGGTCATAAAGGCCATAAAGGCACTTAGGTTCAGGCGAATTTCTTTGCTGTTTGACAGCTTCTTGGGTGTTTTAAGCAAGTTTTGGTTAGTTGTTTTCCAACGCGGAGATGCACGACACATAATTATAATAACATAATCGGCGAAACTGGTGATGATATGATTACATGGGAGCTGGAAGAGGTTAAAGTTTTCTTTAGATAAGCACAAGACGAATGACAGTGGGGACGGG